TTGAGGAATTGCTTCAGAAAATGTACCAGCCTCGTCCTTGTACATGATCTTCTCATTAAAAACCACGTTTTTTATTTTCCGATCTTGATCATCCCAGAAACGATAGACAAATGTATCGTCTCAATAGCCAATGAAATAACATTTCTTTGACTTAACTTCAAGCTTGCTACGATCATCAGGATTAATAAGCACATAAGAAAGACATCCAAATATTTTAAAGGTGAGAAAATTTGACATCTTTCCTACTATAGACCTCCACAGGTAATTCACAGTTTAATGGAACGGATGACCCCCTATTGACCAAGTAAACTGCAGTGTTAACTGCATCTGCCTAGAAAGTTGGTGATAGTCTTGCATGCAATCTCGTGCTTCTAGCCTTGCTCATTTATGGTGTTCATACGTTCTCCAACTCCATTTTGTTGTGGTATCGCCAAAATGGTCTTCTCCATTCTGATATCTTGAGCTGCACAGTACTCGTTGAACCCATCATTAATGTACTCACACCATTGTCAAACCTAAAACATTTCAGTTTGAAGTCTCTGTCTCAACCATGACTTTCCAAGTCTTGAACACATTAAATACATCAGATTTATGCCTCAAGAAATAAACTGATACCTTCCTGTTGTGGTTTTTAATGAATGTGATGTAGTAACAAGAGCCTCCAAGAGATGTCACTGGGAAAGGTCCCCACACATTAGTGTGTACAAGTTCTAGCTTTTCTGTCTTTGGCGCTCTATCACCTTTCAAGAAACTGTGATTCTTCCGCCTCCCCATAATGCAACTCTCACACATGTTGAGATCAACTGACTTCAGCTCTGGTAGTTTGCCTATGGACTGAAGTACTTTCACGCCCCTCTAACTCATGTGACTAAGCTTACAATGTCATAATTTTGTCGTGTTCTCTATAAATGTAGTAGCAATAGTGTTAAGTGAGTCTGTAGACATATATAGTGTGTCAGTGTTCTTATCCCGAGCGAGTACTAGTGCCCTTTTTGTAACCTTCCAGGAGCTATCAAGAATATTATTGAATGACCACCCTCATCGGCTGCCCAACAGAAATGAGGTTTTTCTTCAACTTAGAAATGTGTCTGACCTTTTTCAAAATCAATTTGTTTTTGTTAGGGAGTGCAATATCAACGTCTTACATCCTCACCAAGTCCAGAGCTTCTCCATAAACCAGATATACCTTCCTAAAGTCACCTACAACATAGTTTCACATTAAATCCAGACGGGAAGATGTATGGAAATAAGTCCTTGAATCAATTATCCAGTAGTCAATAGAACTGTGAACTGCCAACAAAAGTGCATCATGTATTTCTTTAGTTACAACATTAGAGCTATCATTCTCCGTCTTCTTCAGATTTTTGCACTTCCTTTTTATGTGACCATCTTTGCCACAATTCCATCAGGTTGTTTGCTGATCAAGTTTTGATTTTTATCTTCATCTATTTGAGTTTCTTTTCTGTGTTCTCCCTCTATAATTAAAATTTAGTGTTGAACTTGAACCTGAGACCTCACCAGAATCTTTCATGCGCACCTCCTCAACCAAAATCAAATCACGAATATCATCATATTTAAGCTTAGATTTTTAAAGAATTATTAGCAATCATTATCATGGCTTCCCAATTATTTGATAATGAAGCAAACAATATCAATGCATGTTTCTCATCATCAAATTCAATTTCTACAGATAATAATTAATTTGTGATAGTATTAAAATTGTTCAGATGTTGTGCAATAGTTGTATCATCCGTCATCTTTAAATTGAATAACTTTTTCATCAAGTGCATTTTGTTATTTGCCGATGATTTTCATACATACCTAATAAAGATATCATGAGATTTGTAGCAGTCTTTTCCTTGATGACGTTGTGGGCAACAAATTTTGATAGGGTTAATCGAACAACCACCAGAACATGTCGATCTAACAGATTCCAATCAGCTTCATCCTTCTTCTCCTGTCCCTTTCCCAGTAACGAAAGATGAATATTCTTCCCATAGAAGTAGTCCTCTATCTGCATTCTCCAATAACCAAAATATGTGTCATCAAACTTTTAGATCCCCAATGTCATCACTTCATATCCAGTCATATTTTCCTTCAGATCTAAACCAAGGCTCTGATACAAATTCTTGTGAATAACAGCGACAATAAAACAAAAATTGAAACGAAAAAATTTGCACATAAATAACATGCACAAAGATTTACGTGGTTCGACAAATTGTCCATTTCCACAGAGTTGTAGAGGATTTCATTAGCATGAGGAATTACACCGTCGATCACGTCGACTTACAAGAAAAACACTTCCTCTCTCTTTCCTCTCATTTTCTCTCTCTACACACCATAAGCCACCAAGGAAGAAGAATTATGGGAGCAGCAAAAAACTCGTGATTTTTTCCTATGCTTGGAGTTCGGTCACGGGAGAGGGATCCCGGAAGAGTAGCTAGTTGATTCCTCCTTTCTTTAAGCTTCCCACTGAAGCAACACAACAAGAGAGATAAAGCATGGACCACCTGAAACATCACCGGAAGAAGAATAGGAATAGCAGGTTAATAACATGTCTTTCATTAATCCATATTTAAAGCAGCTAAGAAGAATGTCTATTTAGGCTCTATTTGGCGCAACTACAACTTCTCAGCTTTTCAGCTGCAGCTGCGCTGCCCCAGGAAGCTGCTGCGGTGAAGCTGATTATCTGTTTGGTTCAGGGGAAACTGATCATTCTGCCATTGTTTGATAAAATTGTTTAAAAAAAGATACAAATGAAATTTTTATAACTCCATAAGCAAAATTTATTATGTAATAAATTAGTAAAACTTCAAAGTGTTAATTATGTAATAAATGTAATTGTTGGGTAATTAGTTAGTAATTGTTATGTAATAAATTTATGGGATTGATTAATATATTTTAAAATGTTAAGTTGTTAGATAGGTGAACCTATGAAATAAAAGCCTTGTTATAGGAATGCTCTTATATTCGGTGGCGCGCATGTAGTAAATATGTTTTCTATTTAGGATTTAATATATTATTAATGAACTAATTAATTTAACTATTTTTAATCAAATATTGATGAAAACTTAAAAGAAAACCAATTAAAGGGACGTGTGCCCATTTTTTCCCAAGTTGAAATAGGCTTTCATTCATAACTTTTAAAACATATAAATGTTAAAAGCTATGAATATCAAACTTTGATGATCAAATACATATACTTTAATTTTTCATTCGGTTATGGATATGTAAACATAAATGTTGCTAAAAAAAATAGACTGCGAATTGTAGTGCATATTTGTGTTATATATTACAACAAGAATTTATCGTTTACATAACAAAAAATTTCAGGGAGGTACATGACTACTGTTAAATCCAAACTTCAATGATAACTGTCCAAAAGTACATAAACATATCTCAAGTAACCAATAACATAAGGAGAGCAAAAAAAAATTTTAAAACTATTACAATGACAATTAGTAAGATAATTATATTATTTTTAACATTTACACAGTATAACTCCCGTGACAGACTTTGCTCAAGTGATGTTCTCCATTCTCGTTCAACGTCATCTGGGGATTCAATCAAATCGTCAGCCCAACGGAAGAAGCTGCACAGTTCGACGAAAAACATCCCAATATATTTAACAGAGAAATGCACTTCTCCAGAAATCGATTTCATACAACATATTAGTGGTAAAAAATGTAAAGTAATTAACTTTTCCAAAACCATTTTCGTATTGTTATACTGCAAAAAACAAAAAAAAAATTCCTTCATATCTAGAGCCACTACGAGAAAAAAAAATCATTCATGTAAATCAGATGCACATGCTTCGCAACTCCCTAAGAATATACCATGAAAAACTCCTTCATGCTACCAAAACCAAAAGATCCAAAATGATATACGAAGCTGGCGATGGGAGAAGAGGAAAGGGAGGAGTAGAGACGCAAGGGAGGCTTGGAAGAGAAAATTTTGGAAGATCCATACACCTTGATTCGTATGGTTTTCAAATGAGCAACAAAGGAGCAGAGGAATGAGCTTCTCTTTTTTGCACGAGGGGAGGACGCGAAGGAGGAGGACGCTAGGGCAAAAGTGTCACGAGGGTAGATGGTAAATGTAAGAAATTTTAGGGGCGAACACAGGGCCGCGGGGTTGATCCTGCGGCCGGCTTCCCCAAAACTTCTTATCACCGCCCCCGCAAAGTTACGAAACAAACAGGAAAAAATTTTTACTCGCAGCGGTTTAAAAAACAGCGACCCCAAACACAGCCTTAAGGTAATTCACAATTACCAGATTTCTGGAGAGGAGTTGGCAGGACGTGGGAAGAAGAAGCATATAGTTCATTTTCGAAGGAGATAAACAAGATCAGCAAAATTAAATATTTTGCGTAAACTATAGTGGATCGGGCTCCACATAACTCAATAAAATTAAATTTCACACCATAATTTATTTTGTCAGAATTTAGAATTCGATCGATTTAACCAAATTTAAGTTACACTGTAAAATGTTATCGACAAGTTGTCATTTTCCACCGCCGCATGCTACTCGAAGAAGGAAAGCACTTGAAATATTTCAAATCAAACAAAAAAAACATATAAAATCATATATTTAGTAGATATTGAACTAAACCATTTTAAACTATTTGAAATACATTATAATTAAAATATTCTTTATATCTTATATATTACATCTTATTTTGAATAAGTCGAAGGACTTCCGAATAATTTTATTTTATTTTTAAATATTCAAGATTAATTTCGATCAGTTGCCCTCATTACTTTAATTTTCGTTTATTTCTAAGAAAAGTGGTGGAAAATCGTGTAATGCGGAGTTTTGCGGGCTTCCCACCCTGCGCTCGGAGCCCATGAACGTAGCCAAAAAGTCGGCTCGGTGGGGAAGGGTAGGTGGATGCCTTTCAACAAACACCGAAGATAGCACCGGGTATGACCGGTGGAGAGCGGTAGTGCACCTTCTATACCCGGTGACCCGGTAGCCGTGTCTCGAGCCGACAACCGTTCCTCATTGCTATAAAATGTGGTCGAGGGGAAGGAGATTACCCGTGGAAGAAGGAAAGCAATCCCTCATTTTCATTGCGTATTCTCGAACCCTAAGAGGTGAGCGATGAATCCTATATCAGTTTTGCTCTTTGTGGTTTCCGCGTTCTCTCGAAGCGATTCCTTTGATGTTTGTTTCTTTCCAAAACATTTTTAAGCGCATCTAGGGTTTGTGGTTCTGGGAAGGTGTAGTTGCTAGATCTGATGAGTTTGAGACATTGATGAGCTGTTTTGGTTGGGATGAATACGATTTGCTTGAGAGGAGTGGCATTTGCCATCTTTTCTATTATTATTAGCTGGATTTGCTTAGGTCTGATGGATTTCTGTGTTTTATTTTGGATTTGAGGTTTGAGTGATTCTGATTTGTGTTTTCTTACCGGTTCTGCTTCTAGATCTGTTGGTCTTAGTGTTTGCTGGGTGTGAATTTTTAATGTTTCTTCCGAGACTAGTATTTTACATATTGGTTAGATGTAATGCAATGGACTTTCAATCTGATTGTTCTTTTTTTAATTTTTTTTTACTAGTTGTCTGAAAGTAATATCATTTAAAGTAATTTGTCTTCCATGGCAGTACGTCTTGGCTTGCAGATCTGCTTTTTTTTCGAGTCCTTTTGTAAGAATTTTTTGTTCGGGTAGGTGAGCGCTCGAATCTGTAGCGCTGCACCTTTGGATTATTCGAGTAACTCCTCATTTTGTTTCCTTTTGTCAGAATTTGCTTATTTTTCCTTTAGGCTAACGGATTTTCTTGAACTTTACGGTCGCAAATAATTTTGTAGAATTTTGTCCGCGAAACTCGTTTTTATTCTTCCACCATCTCTTCCAAGATTTTCTCATTCGATTTTTTTGTGAAACATGTCTTTGTCCTTTCTATTTTTATTTTGAAGATTCTGGATATAGATGCATGCGTCTTTCACCTCGTATAACTTTCGGATCGAGTAATTCAAAGAAAAATTACTGGACTCATAGAATTTCTTCATTCACATGTGTGCTGCTTGATTCGTAAATAGCAAAGTTTCGGATGCTCTGTATGTAATTGCTCCTTTTGAGAAATGCTTGATCAATTTGTTCTCTTTTGTGTTTGTTCAGATCACTAAATGGCGGACACCTTCCTTTTCACCTCGGAGTCTGTTAACGAGGGTCATCCTGACAAACTCTGTGACCAGATCTCAGATGCTATTCTCGATGCTTGCCTCGCTCAGGATCCCGACAGCAAGGTTGCCTGTGAAACATGCAGCAAGACCAATATGGTCATGGTCTTTGGTGAGATCACCACTAAGGCCACCGTCGACTATGAGAAGATTGTCCGGGATACTTGCCGTGCCATCGGTTTCATCTCTGACGGTGTTGGCCTCGATGCTGACAACTGCAAAGTTCTTGTGAACATTGAGCAGCAATCTCCTGATATTGCCCAGGGTGTTCATGGCCACTTCACCAAACGCCCTGAGGAGATTGGTGCGGGCGACCAAGGCCACATGTTTGGGTACGCCACCGATGAGACTCCAGAGTTCATGCCTCTCAGCCATGTCCTTGCTACCAAGCTCGGTGCTCGGCTTACTGAGGTCCGGAAGAATGGCACTTGCGCCTGGTTGAGGCCGGATGGCAAGACCCAGGTCACGGTTGAGTACCGCAATGATGGTGGAGCTATGGTTCCCATCCGAGTCCACACAGTCCTTATCTCCACACAGCATGATGAGACCGTGACTAACGATGAAATTGCTGCAGACCTCAAGGAGCATGTCATCAAGCCAGTCATTCCTGAGCAGTACCTTGATGAGAAGACCATCTTCCATCTCAACCCATCTGGCCGCTTTGTCATTGGTGGTCCTCATGGCGATGCAGGGCTTACAGGCAGGAAGATCATCATTGATACCTACGGCGGGTGGGGAGCCCATGGTGGTGGTGCTTTCTCTGGGAAGGATCCAACCAAAGTCGACCGGAGTGGAGCCTACATCGTCAGGCAGGCCGCCAAGAGTATCGTGGCTAATGGACTTGCTCGTCGCTGCCTTGTTCAGGTTTCCTACGCAATTGGTGTGCCGGAGCCTCTTTCGGTGTTTGTTGATTCATATGGTACCGGCAAGATCCCTGACAAAGAAATTCTCAAAATTGTTAAGGAGAACTTCGACTTCAGGCCTGGGATGATCAGCATCAACCTTGACCTTAAGAGAGGTGGTAATGGGGGCGATGGCCGATTTTTGAAGACTGCTGCGTACGGGCACTTTGGAAGGGATGATCCTGACTTCACCTGGGAGGTGGTGAAGCCCCTCAAGTGGGATAAGGCTGCTGCATAAGATTCACAGCATAAGCTATTCAAATTACGTCGTCTCTGTATCCGTGGTCTATATTTTGTTGCGATAGACATCCCTCGCAGCTCGTTCTGATAAATGATCAACTCTTTTATTCATTGTAGTCCTATTTTTTTTCATCCTTTTGTTTTCCTGTGTTTGTGGGAATACGTGGAAACATCAAAGTCGAAACATTTGAGTTGTTTTCAGGGGAGTTTGGATTAATGGCTTAATCATTGTATGTTTTAATTAAAACAATTATTGTTTCTTATCTAATGAACTTGCTGTTATGAGTTTAATTTGAGTTTATTACGGTAGTTGGGCTGCTGCTTGAGCTTTGTGAAGCCTTTTTTTTTTTTTCTTTTGATTATAGAAAAGGTGGTTCAATGAGTTCTTTACTACGGCATTGAAGGATGATCCGGATGTGTCAAGTACACCAGTTTTGGTATTTTGCTTGTGCTTGTTCTTAGAATAGAAACTTTATTTTAGGTAATGATTTGGTTGGTGTTATAGAATTTTTTATATGGTGTAATTATGCAGAGAATCATCTAGTCTATGAAATTAATTGGCTAAACGAATTATTTAAGTTTATATGGTCATGAATATTGGGTGAGTACCCAATTAGGTTGGAGAGGTGTGTGAGTGCACTCAACGAGTATTTCTGATGAGAGCATTTATTCAGCTGTTATATTGAGGGTTTTGTTTTTTGCCGTGAGGTTATGGATTTGGATCATTCATATTGTAATTTGGCTCGCCTTTGGGTGGCTTCAAAAATCACTGAAAGATGAGTTTAATAATAAATTAGCATTGAACATGAGGTTCGAATTTAGGTGCTTCAAGTTGCAAGTTGATAGGCAGTAACAGTAAATGCATGATTATGATTTGCTAAAAATGAAATGTAATGTAAAAGATTTATAAAGTGCTAAGATTGCAATGTGGTTCAAATACTTTTTGAGTTGTCTGGTTCATAAGGAATTTATATTTTTAGGAATTTATATTTTTTGTTTGGTTTGAACTAGATTGAAAATAATGTATTTCGGTAAAGGGCAGAGAGCAGCGCCTGGTGGCAAACGAAGGCGGCGGGTGGCAGGCAACGGAGGTGGGCAACGCTTGCTTGTGGCGGGCGGCAGATGATTGTAAGTGGCGGAAGATAACGGGCGACTGCGGGTGGCAGTTGGTGGTCGGTTAATGATGACAATTGGCGGCGGTAACAGGAGGGGATGCCTGCGTCTAGTGGTGGTGTGTTGTGACTACGGACAGGGGCCAGAGGTGGAGGGCGACAGTGGTGGGGGAGGGTTTGGGGGGGGGGGGGCCGACGAGCAAGTTGGGCAGGCAAGCAGACATGCGGCGGGCAGGCGTTGGCGACGAGCGGCAACGAGCATACTATCGTGGTGGGCAGCAACGAGCGACGAATATTTGCTTATAATATTTTACATGAATGATGTAATTCAAACTCGACCAAACTAGTCGAATTCTAAATTCAACCAAAATGAACTACAGTGCAAACTTTAAATTGTATTCGTATGTTTTTATACCAAACAATTTTCTCAAATACAAAGTGGTTATTTGTTTAATCTACGTTAGTCTCTGAATCACACTTAAAGAATAGAGTGTGAGTGGAGAGTAGATAGGTAGAGGGAGAGCAGAAGAGATCCGATATTAGAGCTACAATCTTTCAAATGAATAGTAAAATCATGTAATTAGCTTCATTAAATGATACCTCTATTTATTTAGAGAATTTAGTACAATATTTATGTTATATTTTTGCCCTCATCTTGATTAGGGTTTCACTGGGTAGTTTAGATTTTATGAGTGACAGCTCATCATCTGGTCTTTTTATTGGCTCGTTCATCTCAATTCGGTTCACTAAGTTCAGTCGGCTTGGCTTGGTCGATTATCTCGATTGGTAGGGCTCGATCGAATAAGCTCAATTGGCTCTAAAAACCTATTTATGACAAGAAGTATTTTGGCTTCTATCAGATGATTGAAAATGCTCTATAAAACTAGCCCTTCCATCAAGTCGGCTCTCCTGCAGGATAAACTTCCGCATCAAGTCAGCTTTCTCTTGGTTGGAGTTACAAATGAGTTATCGGTTGGCGATTCTCACGTCGGGTTTTTACTCGATTGGCTTGGCTTGGCCAGCTCGACTAGTCATGTGATCTCCTTGCATGATGAGATCTTCCTTCATACTTCATTGTTCTGATACTTTTTTATATACATATTTTAGTTCTTCGATTAATTTACTTCATGAAAACGACGTTGCGATAATAATAAATAATTAATTGTAAGAGTATACCTCATTCAATTATAATTAATAATTTATTGATTGAACTTTCTTGATTTCAGTGCTTCTATAAATATAACAATGTGACATTTTCCCTTGCTTTATTCCTCCCTTTTTTTGATTGAATAGACCGCCTCTCTTTGGAACTCTAGTTCACTTAGACCATGGATAAACTCATCAAGTCACAAGCCGACGTTCCTACAAAGTATATATTATCCATTTCTTTTTTAGAAAAGCGAAGGGATGAAATTGCCCGGAGGGTTAGAGGAAGAAGAAAGTTGACGTAAAGAGGAAGAGGCTTCAACTTCCACGACCAGATCATGTGGGGTTGTCTAATTCGATTGTAGGCATAACATCAAAGGACTTTCAGTTGAGTGGCTTAATTCTTGATCTGACCGTTTAATCACTTATTGTGACATAAGATCCTCTGAACAATCAAACTACCCAATAACTTCAGATGTGCTTCCATTGCTCTTATCAGTACTCACTAGTGAGCTTACCGTGTCGCTTACAGTGTAGAAGTTGATTCAATTCCTAGGTACGAGAGACTTTTGTCGTTGTATTTGTGTGGTATGATCTTTTATGTCCTTGTTCGAAGTCTTCTTGATTTATGATAATTTATGATGCAGATGATCCGACTCCATTAAATTTTAATGAGGATTTGACAGAACCTTCGAGGAATGCAGAACAAGCTTTAAGTGGGAGCAGTCGACTCCCAAGCAAGGATAGTGGGTTGATAGCCCCAACATCCATCCACTTCTCCTCAAAATGCACGAGGAAGATGACAAAGGGATCCAAATTTCTCATGGGTCAATAGCTCTTTGTTTGGACGAGATTGAAAGTTCTTTTGTTCAATCGATCAAGGTCAGGAGATACACAAGTTGTTGGCTCGCATGACAGAGGTGGAGGAGACAGTTACAACTCTCCACCAGGAGCTCTCAAATACGCGAGAGTAATTTCAAAGTTTTTCAAGCACATGTTGAATCAATTTAGGTCGAAGGGAGATTTTTTTTACAAGAGTGCTTTTTGAAGCGTCATCAAATGCTCTTGTTAGATCTCTTCTATCTCGAATTGATTCAAAGTGTTGTATTAATTAAAATATATATGTTATTTATGAAATAACGATATTTTATGTTTTTCTCATTTCTTGTGTCATTTTAATTTCATCGGATGGCTTCTTATATAAATGATGATTATTTTGTTTTTACCTCTGCGACACAATACAATCACATTTGCTCAAATGAGCTTTGATACAAAGTATCGTTTACGATAATAAATAAATAAAATAAATAAAAAATATATAAAATAACTTGTGTGTTGGAAATCTAGTCTTCATATCTTGGAAATCTCATCGCAAGTGAGTTGGAAATCTAGTCATCAGAGTCTGACCCATGTTATGAGATAAAAAACATGAGGATTTTATGATGCATGAGCGCGGATAGTTATGCAATGTTTTTATATTGCGACTGGGTCTTTGTTGGGTGAATAGTCGCTCGGGTAAAAACACAGTTGGTAGGTTGACTTTTGTTCCCTGAGTGTCGGTTAGACTCAATGACCCTTTACATACTTCAGTCAAGTTGCCCGAGTGTTGTTCAAATCAGAGATCATACATTTGGTTAGAAAATTTCACATGAATTTAAACAAATAAAAATAAAGTGATATGATCGGTTGGATCTGATCGTTCTTTGTATGATCATATATCCAAAATCTTGAATCATCCTAGGATTCGACTTCAGAGAATTGATGGGAGAATGTGTTTTCCGACTGACACGATGCTCCAATATGCCCAAATGAGTTGTGATTAACTGGTGTTGACGTAGCATTGTTAAGGTACTAGTTTTTGTCCTCCCTCTCCAAGACTGGGGGACTCTCCTATCATTTAGCGTTGGCGTGCCATGTTAAGGTGGTGGATCCCTCTCCCGAGTCAGCTCACATCTGATCATTTCCATCATTAGATCCTTTAGATTTTATTTCTACTCAACTACGAATTCTCGAGCGCACTCTATTTTGTTGCTAGTCTTTCTGAAGCAGGGTCATTCTCTTTGGTTTACTCATCTTCTTGTTTGTGACATGATCCACACTCACTACATCTTATAGGGTGTTGACTCCGAACTAGTCCATGAATCACACCTAAGGAATAGAGCAAGAGTGGAGAGTAAAAAGATAGAAGGAGAATGAAAGAGATCGTATACTAGAGCTGCAATCTTTCAAATGAATAGTAAAAATCGTGTAATCTTCTTCATTAAATGCCACATTGTCGGCACTATTTTTGGTGTGGGGTTTGCCCGTAAGAAGCTGTCGGTCATCGGAATTGAAATCCCGTTGCCTGCTTCGGAAGGACGTTTTAAAAAATTTAGTTTTGAAAAAGATGAAGTCAAACTGACCCCATAATTTTCATAGTTTAGATGAAAGAACGCTTTATCTCAAATCATGTATCTATCCCGAAGGATGAACGCAAGAATTGAGAGTGAGGCTCGATCAAATAAACTAAAGAAAGTTATGACATCCGTTTGGTCTGCGAAACCAATGTATTGGCCGACAAGTTCCCCTATTTAATATAAGGAATTAAATAGGGTTTATGTTATGCTGGGTTCGGGAAAAGCTTCCTATAAGGGCAAGCCCCTATAGTTAATTACATCTTAGATAACTGAAGTTACCTAAGAATACTCTCGATAGAAATCAAGAAAAAATTATCTTCAAGGAATTCAAATGGTAAGGACATCTCAAAGATATCAGACTAAGAAGTGTGAAGGGGGATTGGTTCAAATATGAAACATTTTGTTTTGGAGTTCAAAGGAGGAAACACTAGAGGATGTCACGGATCCGAAG